AGTGCTTCTCAACCATTTTTAATTCAGGGCGTTCTTGTAGAATAGCTAAAATTCTGGGACGCACTTTAAAATTGAATAAGGAAAAATTAGTCATGAAATTTTAAAATAGGAAAATAATAAAGTCTACTGAAATAAGCCTTTTATTTTAAGACATTACATTGTATATTTAAGTATGCTTGTGCGAAACCTTTGCTTAATGTGCTTTTGCTGTTTTTTAATGTTCAAACTTATACATGATAAAACATAGTCCTATTATCATTTTAAAGACAGATTAGCAGTACAGCTTTCATTTAAAGAGATTTATGAAAAATCTGCTATTTTTTTAGAGAGAGCTAGAATTACTGATTTAAACCCCTGTAGGAAGTCAAAAGAGAAAAGATTATCCACTCCTTAAAGATTAAGAAATTTAGAATTCTGTTTAAAATATCAATTGGCAAAGACTTGACTTAGACATGGAAGCCATGTACTTGCTGCCTCTAACTTTTTAAAAATAAACATTTTTTAAATATGAAAATAATTCATCAATTGGATTTCAGTTAACTTTGGGTGCATCTGGCTACATTTCGGGGCAGATGAGAAAAGCTGCTTTGCACCATGAGACTGCCTGTGAGAAACAAGAAGGTTTTAAGAAACATGGGAACTACTGCTAACAATCAAAAAGACACAGTTGAAATCTTTGGAACGCATAATAAGTGTTGTGGATTCCGTGAATGGAATCCTGCACAAATAAATAAACAACGTCAGTAATTGAGATAGAAAAATAAGTGTATTAACGTAAGAATACAGACTTGAAGTGAAGATTGCCGGTTAGTAGAAAGTATGTGTACAATTCTCTGTAAGTAAAGCCGTAATTCTCTCTCTCTCTCTCTCTCTCTCTCTCTCTCTCTCTCTCTCTCTCTCTCTCTCTCTGGACTCTTGTATAACTCTCTGAGAACACCCTGTGTCTGTCTCCGTATCTCTCAACCTGTCTCAACGTATCTCCACGTATCTCAACGTATCTAAACGTATCTCAACAGCAGGTATCCTCTCTGTCAGTATAAGTATACTTTGGACGACACAACAATAAGAAAAGAATCCTTGGAGAATTAAACACTCACAGGGAATACTGGAGGCAGGAATCAGCAAGTAATCAACTTGATGTGTTTTAGTAAAAACGTGGAAGAAGAAGGACCATAGAGATAAAGACAGATGGTAAAAATGGCAAGAATTAGAGCACTGGTTCCCAAGAGGATAGCAGGTGAAATGGAATGATTGAAAGACAATCAAAGATTTAGAAACTATTTCGAAAATTTCATAATGCCAAAAGTAAATTTGATTTCAGAATTTAAAATATTATTATGGATGACTTGTAATTGTATGTATGAGTCCCAATATAATTAATTATAAATAATTATTGGCCGATTTCAATCATTGTGATATTTTTTGCATTATATCAAGTGTTAAGAATATAGAAACTAGGCTCCACAAATTGGAGGAGAGAGTTATCAATGATAATGTTCAGACTTCGAATCCGCGGTTATCTCCCTTTAAGATTATGTTTTTGGTTTGTTTTTTTTTTAATTGTTAAATGTACTTTTTTATTATATACAATTTGGTGAGGCGCGAGAAGATTTTGATTCTGAAAATGCAGCCCAGAGAAAAAAAAAAAAGTTTGGGAACCACTGAGTTAGAGCAACAAAATAGATGTCGTTGAAACGATAAATGATCGTCTGAAAGGACTGGTTATATAAAAGAATTGCCGATACCTGAATTGAAATAAGGGTCTCTGGTTCTTATAGACAATGAATAAAGATCTCGGATTCGTATTGATATTCCTGTAGGCGGATAAGAAGAGAAAAGGATTTTAATCGCAGTTCGCGACCCCTTTTTCTACAATACAGTTTCTCAGCTGTATCTTTTATTCCCATATTTGCCATATCGGCAGTGATTTGAATAGACCGATCTCAATCCATGTAAAGGGATGAGCCACCTCTCCAAATGCAGCTGAAATGTGGAGTCTGGTATAAGCGTCTCTAATACTTGCCTATATACAAACATTTACCTATAGATTCACATATAAACGACCAATATTTGCCTAAACACTCAAGTATAAACGACCAATATTAACTACAGGCTCAAGTTTAAACAACCAGAATTTATCTATGTACTCAATTTTGTATAAACGACTATTTTTACCTACTGGCCTAAGTATATAAACGAGTAATACTAATATTTGCCGATAAACCCAAATATGTATAAATGAGCATTATTTATCTAAGTCTATATATAATAAAAAATTCGTAATTACTTTTCTCTCTGTTTCTCTCTCTCGCTCTCTCTCGCTCTCTCTCTCTCTCTCTCTCTCTCTCTATATATATATATATATATATATATATATATATATATATATTTCGATATTAAATAACCCAATAAAGCTTGATATGTTGCAAGATAGGTTAAACCAAAAGACGAAAGAAAATCACCTTATTGATATATATTTTTTTAATCCTATCTAAGCTTTCGGCTTACATAAGCCATTATCAAAGATAACAATTATATTATAATATATTAAACAATACACGGACAAAACAATAATGATAGTCTGTTTTTGTTTACATGGAAGATTTCCAAGCAACGACAAACTCGTGCATAAGAGACGCTGGAAACGAAAATCGCACCGCAGCTCTTGACGTCACACATGACCACGCTAGTGTGAAAACGAGAAGTATTAAGTATGGGAAGCCGTTGGTATAAAATAATGGCTTCTGTTATCAATTATAGGCATTTAACAATATTTTTGGAGATTTCATAGTTTATTTTGTTCAGGTTAGGTTTTAACTGTTTTATGTATATAGCTTCAAGAATTTTAGTTTTTGTTTATTGTTTTCATGTTTAAACCCATTGTGTTTTCAACAAGGATTTTCCGAAATTGTGTATGCGGCCAGGCATGATGTTTTAAATGCCTAAAAATGTTAGAGTTATCATTCAAATGTAGAGTCAAGCGTCGTGAAAGCGAGTTTGTGGCGTGACCAACATAAATATATATATATATATTATCAAATCCATAAGTGGAAAGGATAATCAAAGTAAGTCTTTTTGATATAAAATATTCAAAAGATAGATCCATTAAGAGAGCTCAATGTATTATATGCAGAGCAATATTATATACACCAAAGGAAAAAACTTAAAATATCTCGAAAGATCCGATAATAAATTTATTTCGGTAGGTTAGATTTTTTTTTTAATATATTGTCTGTACAAATTTAAACCATTTTGTAATTCAGTTCTGATGAGGCAGGTATTAAAAAAAAAATTCCTGCTGAGTTTTCGAGATGTGTTAAGGTTTTCCTTTATATATATATATATATATATATATATATATATATATATATATATATATATATATACATATATGTTTTTTTTTATCAAACCTTTTAGTATTGATGTTTCTAGGAATTTATACTGAGGACAGAAATTGCTATAAAAGTTTGTTACAAATGAGTTTCATTTTTATGTAATTCATTTCTGTGCTCTATAACAAATATATTGAGCTCTCTTTTGTGGATCATTTTTAATATTTTATATTAATATGATTCACTTGGATTACTTACCTACGGATTTTACCGATATATATATATATATATATATATATATATATATATATATATATATATATATATATAATGAATAAAATGACAATAGTAAAATTGGTAATTGCTGACGCGTTTCGTTCAATCTGGACTTTATCAAAGCAAAATACCAAAATAAAAATTAATTGAATAAAGTAACTAATAAAAAGAAAAACAGAATGTACCTAGCAACTGGAATGTAGAGAAACGCTATTTTCATATTTTTTAACTGAAAAATAACGTCAGTATTTGTCACGTGTGGAGAATATTGTCATTATATCTGTGTTGATGTATTCAACCATTTTCTTTTGATTTTATGAATCTGTTGTGTACATTTGTTTGTAAGAGCAGTAATTTTGTTAAGAAAGGTGAAATGGGGAAAAAACCTGGGCGTAGATTAATATTTGGGTAATTTTCTATGGCGGCACTCTCCAGAATTTTCCTTCTGAGTGAGTTATTTTCTTTTTCTTTGAGTGTAACATTTTTAATATCAAAATTATGGTTGAATTTATTTCTATGTATGACTAGTGAATTAGCTAAGTTGTTTTTTGTGAGGTCTCTTTTGTGCTCATAAATGCGTTTTTTCAAACTTCTACTTGTTTCTCCAATATATTGGGAGGAACAGTTTTGGCAATTTATTTTATAAATGCCTGCTTCAGAAATATTAGTGCTATTATATATATATATATATATATATATATATATATATATATATATATATATATATATATATACCATCTTCAACACACGGACACTATCAGGCAGACACAAATATGCCAGCTAGAATCCAGCACACATTCACTAACAACATAAGACAAAAATACGTGGCATCTAACTGACCAATGAAAAACAACAACAACAACGTACTCAAAGTAACAGAACAATCTCTTACACTGACAAGTTGACAATGGCAATTGTGCACTTGCCTGTAAAGTTAGGTAATTATTATAAAACGCAGTACTCTTGTGAAAGGCATGGACTCATTCATTCTCTTCCACGAGCTATGGGTTAAGTAACAGAGTTGGTTGGACTTGGATGGCTGCCAGTTTAGAAGAATGACTATTTTGAATACAAAGCCGTGGAAAAGGCAAAGGAAGAACCTCTCTACTATTATGAAACCAAAGCGATTCATAGATAATAAAGAAAAGGAATATGTGGAGAGTCGCAATCGGCTACGACCAGAAGGAACATGGCATTAATTGTTTTAAAAAAATATGGTAGTGTATAGTTTTATTTGTAAGGTATTTTGGGTTCGGTCAGAGACATCATAAACTATCTCCATAGAATTTTTCGAAATATTGGCGTTTAAAAAGCCTCAGGCCTACTTCTAGAATTTTGCAGCTGTCTACGGTTGTTAAATCATTATTTTTCTCTGCAAACTGTTGGTTTATGTTACTTTCTTTGTGTTCTTTTTTTTTTCCTTTGGTTTTTGAAAAGAAAATGCAATGGAAAGAAAGAGAAAACTTTTCGAGAGGAAACAACGAATGAATTAAGGAGGAAGGATAAGTGCAGACAGGGAGTCAGAGAGATTGTGAAAGAGTGGTGATAATTATGAAGATTAAAGAAGAAAGAAGAAAAGAAAATGTAACCTGAAGAAGGAATAATCGAAAACAGTAAAATGAAATAGAGAAAAGAAAGAAAGAAGGAAGGAAGGAAGAAAGGAAAAAGAAGAAGGAAAAAAGAAAGAAAATGTGACTTGAAGAAGGAATAAGCAAAAACGCTAAAAGAAAATAGATTATAGAAAGAAAATTAAAGGAAGGAATAAAGAATGAAGGAAAATGTGACCTGAAGAATGAACAGGCGAGAACATATAAAGAAAATAGCGCAAAGAGAGAAAGAAAGAAAGAAAAAGAAAGGAAGGAAGAATGAAGAAAGAAGGAAAGAAAATGTGATCTAAAGTAAGAAGAGGCGAAAACGCTGAAAGAAATTCGATTAAAGAAAGAATGGAAAAAGTAAAAAGAGAACGAAAAAAATGGAACGAAGGAAGTAAAGAAGGAATGAAAATCTGACCTGAAGAAAGACAAGGCGAAAACACTGAAAGAAAATAGCGCAAAGAAAGAAAGAAAAAAAGAAAAATAAAGAAATGAAAGAAGGAAGGAAGAAGGAAAGAAAATATGACCTGAAGAAGGAATAGGCGAAAACACTGAAAGAAAATAGAATAAAGAAAGAAAGTAAGGATGTTAGAAAGAACGAAAGACAAGAAAAGAAAGGAAAGAAGGAAGAAAGAAAGATAGAACAAAAGAAAATATGATCTGAGGAAAGAATAGGCGAAAACACTGAAAGAAAATAGAGAAAAAAAAAAGAAGAAAGAAAGGAAAGAAGAAAGAAAAAAACGAAAGAAAATGTGACCTGAAGAAGGAGTAGGCGAAAACACTGAAAGAAAATAGAGTAAAGAAAGAAAAAAAAAAAACAAAGAAAGAATAGAAGGAAAAAAGAACGAAAGAAAATGAGACTTGAAGAAGGAATAGTCGAAAACACTGAAAAATAGAGAATAGAAAGAAAGAAGACGAGAAATATAAAAGAAAGGAAAGAAGAAAGAAATAACGAAAGAAAATGCGACGTGAAGAAGGAATAGGCGAAAACATCGAAAGAAAATAAAGAAAAAAGAAAGAAAACAAAGAAAGTATGGAAGGAAAAAAAAGAACAAAAGAAAATGGGACTTGAAGAAGGAATAGTCGAAAACATTGAAAGAAAACACTTAAAAGTAAAAGAAAAAAAATAATAATATGACCCCAAAATGAAAGAATGGAAAAAACAAACGATAGAAAAAAATGGCGCATAAAAAATATTCTTGGGTGTCGTGTCGAATAAATAAATACATGATTAAATAAATACCTTATTTTGCATAATATAAAATGTACTCTTTTCAGAATCTGATTTTCAAAATCTCCCTGCCTTCTACGAGTAAAGGTGACGCATAAATCAAACCTGGAATCTATGAATTTCCACCAGCGTCAGGTAAGAAGAAACAAAAAGGAGGTATGTACTTAGAATCAGAAAGAAACAATTAAATTTTTTAGGGTACATAAAAGAGGAAAGAGTGCTTGTAGAATATAACACTCACATGACGTATTGAAGACAAGAGATACAGAGGATAGCAGCGAATAAGCCATTTAACGAGTTTGTGTAAATTGTTGTCAGAACATGCTTTAGTAGAGATAATAAAAAGAGAAACCTTACTATGAACTACAAAGGACAGGAAGATGTGGAGATTAATGATCGCCCACGCCTTGTAAGGATACGGCACATAAAAGAATGATATTTTTTCTACTATGTTTCAGGCGAAGTTTTAGGTGTATCTTATATGCTATAAAAAGAGAGAAAAAAAAACAGACAAAAAAAAAGAGAAAAAGGCAGAATGAAACTAAAGAAGAAAAAAGAAAGCATAAAAAACAAGTTTGAGGGGGAAAAGAAATATACAAAAAAGAAAGGGAAAAAGACAAAGATAAAGAAAACAGAAAAGAAAAGTGAAAATAAAAAATTAAAAAAACAGTAAAGCATCAATCAAGAGAGAAAAAAAAAAGAAACGAAAAAGATAGCAAGAAAATTAAACAGAATGAGTGAAACAGAAAAGAAATGAATAGAGAAACGTAAAGAAAGAATATATGTGTGTGTGTGTGTGTGTGTGTGTGTGTGTGTGTGTGTGTGAGTGTATGTGTGTGTGTATGTATGTGTGTGTATGTATGTGTGTATGTGTGTGTGTGTATGTGTGTGTGTGTGTGTGTATGTGTGTGTGTGTGTGTGTGAGTGTGAGTGTGTGTGTGTGTGTATGTATGTGTGTATGTATGTGTGTGTGTGTGTGTGTGTGTGTGTGTGTGTGTGTGTGTGTGTGTGTGTGTGTGTGTGTGTAACGAATGTACAGCCGCAATTATCGACGGATTTGCATCAAAATTTACATGCACATGCTCCAAGTTAGTGGGAAGGCCAAGACCGACTTTGCATTTCCCAACCCCCATCGATAGTGGAAATAATCAATTTTTCATGCTTCTACGGCAGTTTTCATGTTTTCATTCGGTTTTTCCAGTTACGAGTCCTTTTTTAAAGCTGATCGTTTTGTGTTCATTTTGTTTAGTTCTTTTTTCGTAAAAGTAAGGCATGTAGCAACATCAGCTCGACAAAGAGCACGCCTTTAAAAGCAAGGAAGGGAAAAAATATTTTAAGTGAAGTGATAGCGATTGCTGTATGAGTCGTACGATTTTTGAATCAAGCACGGGCAACGCCGGGCCACGCTGCTAGTCTGAAATAAAGAGAATAATAAGATAGATAGATATGAATATAATTAGATAGATAGATAGATAGATAGATAGATAGATAGATAGATAGATATGAACCTAACGCTGCTAAAACAATGGGCGAAATGCACATCTCCCATAAGTGCTTGTCGAGAAGGTTTCCTTTGTCCAGTTTCCGTTTTCCATCTCTTTACCAGATGTCAGAGATGATATCTCCTTTACTTCGACATCTCCTAGATCCCCGCCTCCGAAGGAGACATGCATCAGCCCCATGGGCTCATACACCACATCCTTCCATTTCTTATTCTCACCTCGCCCACGTTGGCGTGATTTCTCTCCCCTCAGCCCGAAAGTTACCCTGAATTATCAAGGCTTCAACCGACAGGCAGATTATGTTGGTGCTGTAGTTAGACAGCGAGTTCTTCAAACTGTTTCTAAATATTTAGTTCTTAACTCAAATTTTCATAATTGTATACCTGTGCCATACTAAGATAAGCTTACGACATATCTGCTGGCAATTGCAATTCATATCAGTATAAAAAAGTTAGACCGAGAAATTGCAATGAGTGACTCTACTGATGGTTAAAAGCAAGCATTTTAGTTTTGGAGACGTTAAAATGAACAAGCTATTTTCTTGCCCCAGTTAACAACAGACTGAATGTCATTTTTGAGATCGGCGGCCAATTTGATTTTATCGAAATTATCTGACTTCTCTTTATGACATGAATAAATAAATAACCTCAGTAATAGAATGACGGCAAGGTCTCATCATTTTACAAGACATGTAATCGTGAGTCTTATGCTATAAGTTTCTTCTATTGCACTCGTGCAACACTTTTCCAGCTTCTTGGTTCCCAGTCAACTTTGATCTTCAAAAATTTAAATGCAATGCCAATCGTTATTTACTGTCGTATCAATTCTTGTCCTGTTATTGTCCTCTCTTCTTAATAGTAATTTGTCTCATATTCTCTAACACTCAGTAAACTTTTGCATCCTAATGGCTTTATTAAATTCCTCCCGCCTATACCTCCTCAAAATATCTCTTACTGTCATACCATTTTATGGGAGGTATAGGTGGAAGGCATTTCTGTTTCACCCTGTCTGCGAAACTAAAAAAAAAAGTACTTATGTACACACGCTATACACTCACACACATACACCTCTATACACCTATATATGCATATATGAACGTTAGGTTAAATATCAACAAACCTTTTTTTGGTGAGGCTATTTTAAATTCATTTTTCTATATTTCGTTTCGGATCATTTTTCAATGGTTCGAAATGTAGAAAAATAAATTTAAAATCCTTAACAAATAATAAAACTTTACTATAAACTTTCAATTTAATTCTATATGTTTCTTAACACCTAACTAATATTATAATAAATTATGATTTGAATTTCATTTGATCGCCATTTTCTACAGATATACAAGATTTATTTTTCTTACTATTTCTTTTATTTTCCAACACCATATCATTATATTTTATATTTATTTTGATATTTTCCTTTGCACAAATCTCATTGATTTGTTCACAGGTTTTTGCTTAATTTGTTTTGATTAACTGATATTTTTTTATAATTTTATTAATTATTAAATTTAAAAAAAGGCAAATTAATCACAGATTGGCATGATAATTATATCCTTAGATTTTTTTTATTTACTTGTTCGGATGACGTTGTTACTCTACGAAACGTTGACAATAGAATAAATAATTTAAACATCCAACTGATATTCGTATATCCCATCTTACATATTTTGTTCGGATATTGCATATCAGTCATATTATCAGTGTCTTTATTTTCACCAGAAATTAAAGCAAACATTCGAACATTAGAACGGCTTATGATCAAACATAATAGACATTCATTGTCTGTTATCTTTAATAATAATAATAATAATATATATATATATATGAAAAAATATATATATATATATGAAAAAAAATATACTGAAAAACGTCCATCGTCTTTTTCATGTTGAATTGTATATGGTCTATGTTAATTATGTTTTATGAATATGTCCTGAAGATGGTATATTAGACCGAAACGTCCGACGTTGACATTAAACAGCATAATCGCATATTAGGATTTTTTTTTTTTCAGTATATTTTTCTTCATACTATCGGATCTATATCCATATATTTATATATATATATATATATATATATATATATATATATATATATATATATATATATATATATATATATAAATATATATATATATAATATATCCATATATGGATATATATATATATATATAAATATATATATATATATATAAGCAAATATATGGATATAGATCCGACAGTCAGGGTTCGATACTCGGTAGTGGATGCGCACTGCTGATGAGTCCCAAATATAGGACGAAACGGCCGTCCAGTGCTTCCTGCATTCTGTAGAGGTTTCTATCAGACTCGATGAATTAAATATATATATATATATATATATATATATATATATATATATATATATTTAGAGACGTGCTGTCTATATAGGCAAGATAGGCAGTTCTTACTCTGAATAAAATAGATTAGCAGCTACATTTTCCTGCAGTGGCTCAATATGCACCTAATCCAAAAAAATTATGAAGGTTACTCTGAGTATTATACATAAAATACAAAATAATTTATTTTTTTAAATTTACTAGATAAAGGTCATGTGGTTTTTTCTACAAATATTTTCACGGTAACTGATCTGACGAGCTACTTTCTCTAGTTCCCAGACTGCATGAATTTAAGCGTGCTACTAGGCTGGCATCACGCCCCCACCCTTTCACTGTCGAAACGGTTAAACGTGGCCGTCTCTTCTACTCCAATAGCTTCATGTCTCGCACTTCCCGTCTGTGGAATTCCTTTTCTATTATTTGTTTCCCTGATAGCTATAATCTCCAACTATTCATATGTAATGTCAATCGACATCTCCAGATGCACTGAACTCTCCCCTAACCTTCTCTTCATCCCTTCATTTCATCACACCTCTTTACTCTCGCTCCCACTCTGTAACTCCCTGCACACTAGTGGCATCCTGCCTTGCTTGGGGTAAAATGCTTTAAAAAAAGCTACCTACCACGAGTAATTATTGACTGCACGTGTTAGACATTTGAGCTGATTTCCTAAAGTCCTCAGCTCGACCAAAACGAATGACTTGAGTCTTGAAGAAAGATTCTTTAATTCTTTCAAACAATCAAAAGCATCGTTGACATACTCATTGTGGATTGTGGTCTGGTTGAGAACTTTTCAGTCCCCGTTCATATGTATGTATATATGTATATATTTATGCATGTATGTCTGTGAGTGTGCGTATGTGCGTGTGTCCATGTGTGCGTTTGTTCTGATAAACTGCGTTCTCGTACATTCTGTTTACGCCTTCAATAGCTTGGCGCGAAATTAATTTCTCCGTATTTTCTTTTAATTTCCATCGAAAATTGCTCGCCGTCAATTACCTTGAAGTATTCGGTTAAGAATTCAATAAAAAATGTGGAATCCAATTTAAAGTGAAATCCGAGATAAGATGTTAAAAAGTAAAAAAAATTAGAACAACTGACTTAAAACAATAAATGAATTCCATGTGTTCACAAATCAATGCATTTAGACCAAACGTTTTTCTTCTTGCTTGTCCATTTTTTTTTTTTTTTTTTGGTTTTTTACCTTCTGGACGCTTTATAAGAAATGTTAATTCGTTTTATTATTCCATCATTGAATATTTCTTGGGTTACTACTGGTGGGAACATTCGAGATTAAATGCCATCAAGTCTCTTCAGTTCTCTGGCACTATCCTTAATAAGTAATGGCTAGCGAGGTTAGTCTTATTGGCTGTTGAGTGAAGATTTCGATCCTGACTGAGTGCCACATACAAAATTACAAGATGAATAACCAAAGTGTAGACATGTCGCAAAATCAGCCAACAAACCAACCAAAATATCTTTAGTATCATCTAGATGTTTCCAAACCATCCTCTAATTTCTCGTTCATAGACTCCACGGCACCGTTCCCAGTGGTCACATAAGTACTACCACTACTGTTATCTTTATGTTCAATAACAAGAACGAGTAATTTTCAGCTACGTTCTTTTAGATCAATTCTGTACTTCACCCTAACAGCGAATTCCGTAGCCTGGTATGTTTTTGCTTTTCTGGGTAATCGTACCAAGTCATTAAAATTAAATTTTTATTGGATCGGTAATTTTTTTTTTTTATAGTGATGGAGCCCGTGGTCATGACCGCAATCGGACGAGACATGACCAAACAAAATTGCTTGCAGCCTAATGTTAGGATATCAATGCGCATCTCCCCTTTGCACTAAGAGAGATAGAGTCAATGATTCACCCTTGCGTCTGTAGCAAAGACTGAAATATCTTTGAACACAAATTTCAGAAAATGTAACCTTCCGTTCTTTATTCTGCTTCTTTATTACTATTACTATGGCAAATGTTCGGACGAGGTTACTTTCCTTAGTTCTATGAGCTCAGGCCCTTCCAATTTTGACCCCACCCCCATTACATGTTCCAGGCGGAAAACCATCACTATTTGCTTCGTGTTCCTTTGATAAGAAGCAAATTCCGCTTAGATGGATTATTTCCCAGAACTGTTACGTGGTACAAACTCCCAAGTGGATAATTCCCTGACAACAACAATCTCTGTCTCTTCAAGACCAGGGTCAACCAATAATTATATGTTCTTATAGGGATTTTCCAAGCGTAGCTTAAATGTGGCACAAAGCCGAAAGTATGGGGCACCCAGTGAGTATAGAACTCATTACTCAGTCGCAAATGTTCTAGCAAGACAAGCCTGCTAACCATTACATCACGATACCCCCGCTACACGTTCTTATAATATGCATTTCTTAATTCTTACTTTCCCACTCTATTACACTAACGCAATAACCCTGTAACTTGAGTGGTTCATGGGCCGTATATTGGGTGAACTATGAGTAAATAAAAAGAAATAAAAATTAAAAAAAAGGTACTGGCTTTATGTTTCTGTATTACCTTACCGAGAAATTAAACGCGCAATCCCCAGGGACTTTGCGACACTTTTTGTAGTTTATATTGTGTCTTGAAGGACACTTGATGGTTTAGTAAAGAACTGGCTTGACATATTTAAAACTGAAAACTAGGGGAAAAAAAGAAA